GGTGTTGTCTGTGTGTGCGATAAGGGGAAAGAACTTTAAAAAGAAGCCTCAAAACTGGCTTCTGTCTTATTCGATCCTGACTTTTGGATTTGATTTTAGTGACTAGAAAAGGGAGTCGGGAGCCTTGTGGTATAGTGGTTACTTGTTGGGCTGTGATCCGCATGGTTGACAGTTCAAAACCACCAGCAACTCTGGGGGAGAAAGACTGAGCTTTCTACTCCTGTAAGCAGTTACTGTCTCTGAAACCCACAGGGGGGGCCACTATGAGTCAGCCTGGACCCGATGGCAGTGAATTTGGATTTTTGGAGGAGAGGGAGTGAGCAGACTGGAGTTGGCTGAAACAGGATAGGGAAAGAATAGATGAAGACTGACATTTATGGGAAAAATTTGAGTACCTTGAGTAAGTTGGAGGCGGGGAATCTGGGGTGTTTTTTTTGTAGCCCCAGGATTTAATTTAGGGTTAAGCCAGTAGTCAGTGTCATGGAATCAATGACGATTCATGATGCCCCATGGGTGTCAGAGTAGAACTGTGCTCCAAAGGGTTTCTGGTGTCTATGGTGTGGTGGTTATGCATTGCGCTACTAGCTGCAAGGTCAGTAGTTCAAAACCACCAGCCGCTCCATGGAGAAAGATGAGGCTTTTTACTCCCGTAAAGAATTTGCCTTGGAAATCCACAGAGGCAGTTCTACCCTGTCCTATATGGTGGCTATGAGTAGAAATGGACCCTATGACAGTGATTTTGTATATTTATTTTTTGAGATAATTTATAGAAATTGATTGACAAGCCTTTCTTCCAAGGCACCACTCGAAGCTCCATCCTTTGGGTTGGCTAGTTCACACTCAGGGACTCCCAGTATACATCATGCCTTCATAGTGGGTGCATTGGTGGTGCCATGGTAGAATTCTCACCTTCCATGGAGGGGAACTGGCTTGATTCCCCCACCAATACATATTGTAGGTAGCCACAACCTGTCTCTCAGTGGTGACTCAGCCGTTGATAGGATTCTGTCCAGTCTTCATGGCACATCTAGACTAAGATGAACTAGGGGGAAGTCCTGGAAGACTATTTCTGAAAAATCAGTCAGTGAAAAGGCAGTGGATCACAGTGATCTGATCTGGAAGACAGATATATTCTCCCAAAGGAATAACCTTTGGAGCAAAACCTTAAGCAGAGGGAGAAGATTCTAAGTTAAATGTCAGGGTTCAGCCAGTCCCAAAGTGAAGTAGTTGGGGGAACGTCCATAGCTTTCATGGAATTCTTCTAGGGGATTTTGAAGGCCACAGCGCTTTCCATACTCCAGGGGAGGCTGCTCCTGGGCGAGACAGCAGGCTTACTGGGATTGGAGGATTACTTCATTTTGGGTGTTGTTTCTGCGGCCCACACTCTTCTTCGCAGGCGTTTGCCAGAGCAGACCCTTGGACTTGGTCTTCATTATCGACAGTTCTCGTAGCGTCCGGCCCTTGGAGTTCACCAAAGTGAAGACCTTCGTCTCTCAGATAATTGACACGCTGGACATTGGCGAGGCGGCCACGCGGGTGGCGGTGGTGAACTACGCTAGCACTGTGAAGATGGAGTTCCATCTCCACACTCACTCAGATAAGCAGTCCTTGAAACAGGCCGTGGCTCGCATCAAGCCCTTATCGACAGGCACCATGTCCGGCCTGGCCATCCAGACAGCCATGGATGAAGCCTTCACGGTGGAGGCAGGAGCTCGGCGGGCCACCGCCAACATACCTAAAGTGGCCATCGTTGTGACCGACGGGAGGCCCCAGGACCAGGTGAACGAGGTGGCAGCCCGGGCTCGGGCCTCTGGTGTAGAGCTGTATGCGGTGGGCGTGGACCGGGCGGACATGGAGTCCCTCAGGATGATTGCCAGCGAGCCCCTGCAGGACCACGTTTTCTACGTGGAGACCTTCGGGGTCATCGAGAAACTGTCTTCTCGATTCCAGGAAACGTTCTGTGGTAAGTGCACGCTTCCAACAAGAAAGGACGTTCAAGGTAGACATCGTGTATCCGCAGTAAAAAAGATTTATGCCCTTTTTGGGGGTGGAAATTTTAGGGAAAACTTATAAGTGATCCTTTCTGTGTATGTGTGTGTGTGTGTGTGTGTGTGTGTGTGTGTGTGTGTGTGTGTGTACCTTTTTACCAACTGAAACACACTTTGTTGGCTTAGGAATATAGAGTTGTATTATATATCACTTGGTTTGCTCATAAAATCTTCGTGTTTTCATTAGAGACCCGAAAGTCTGAAAATATCCCGGATAAATGATCCTGCTGTTCCCTGACAAGTTAAGGGGGGGAAAAAATACAAAAACAAACTCAAGACACCTCTTTCTCCCTCTGCTTCACCACTACATTCCGCCCCCTACATTTAAATGTTTTTTTTTTCAGCTCCAACATCTCTAAATTTAACTGACCTCCGCTTGTTTTTCAAAAGACAGAGGGTGGCAGCTGCCCACGGAAGGGACAGCTTGCCCATGTACCAAAGAAACAGTGTGTGTGTGTGTGTGTGTGTGTGTGTGTGTGTGTGTGTGTGTACTTCATGGATACTCCGGTGTTCAGAGTCTGCTCTTTCTCTTACAGTTCATTGGGGAGGGACAAAGACGGGTGGGATTTTAGCTCATTTGAGCGATAACAAGAAAACATGTGTACACATGTACATATATACCCATACACACATCATATGCATACATATATACCAAGCCAAATTCACTACCATCAAGTTGAATCTGACCATAGCCACTCAACAGGACAGAGTAGAACTTCCTCCCTTGGGTTTCTGGGACTGAAAATCTTTACAGGAGTAGAAAGCTCCATCCGTCTCCAGTGGAGCAGGTAGGCGGTGGTTTCGAACTGCTGTCTTTATGATTAGCAGCCCAAAATGTGTGTGCAGACCTAGGTTCTGGTATGCCCTCCACCACCACCAGGGTGCACATGCTTTCTCTCTGTCTCTCTCTGTTTGTATATCCAGTCCATTCAAGGCTGGCATGTATCATTTTATTTTTTAATCATTTTATTAGGGGCTCATACAACTCTTATCACAATCCATACACACATCAATTGTGTAAAGCACATTTGTACATTCATTGCCCTCATCATTCTCAAAACATTTGCTCTCCACTTAAGCCCCCGGCATTAGGTCCTCATTTTTCCCCTCCCTTCCCGCTCCCCCCTCCCTCATGAGTCCTTGATAATTTATAAATTGTTATTTTGTCATATCTTGCCCTGTCCGAAATCTCCCTTCACCCACGTTTTGGTATTAACTCATTACAATTAGGAATTTTTGGGACGCATACTTTATTTTTGTATATCACTTGGAATTATTCCTTCAAAGCCTTCTATAAAATTATCCAAGCAGGTGTGCACCAATTTCTGGTTCAGGTGAATTTTATACTTGATCTATGCCAAAAGGCTGAGAAGTGATAGTCCAGGTAAGTTTCAAACATATAGATACCTTTTGTGTGTGTGTGTGTGTCTGTGTGTAATTTATTCCACATCTATTTATTCAACACAACCACTGGTGACCGAAAGATTAAAATAGCCCCTCTTTGTTGTCAAGCCTGAGGGTGAAGGGTGTAACAAACAAGTGATCTGGTAATTAAATTGTAAATTTCAGGGAGAATTTAAATCTAAATTAATACAAACCTCCGTCATCACTGGTGTGTCAGGAAATGGAACATGAAGTTTTGGCCAGGGCCACAGCCCGGTCTCATCTCCGCCAGAGCTGGCCTGGACCCCCCTTGTTTTTCTTGTCCTAGCACAGTGGGCCTTCACAAGCCTGCTTTGGCTTTGGTGGCATCTACTTAGAATTCATTGGCTTCCCAAAAAGAAAATGGCTTTCTTTCTCCCAAGAACACCGCACACACACACACACACACACGGCCCTGGCTTGTGGGTGAGAGCTCTCCCATCAAGATGCTGTTCTGTGGCAGAGCTGGGTCGCCTCGCACCTGGGGTTGAGCCTGAAGGCCATCAAGTAACAAGTGGTGAATGGCAATCTTTTCCCTCGGGAACAAAAGGCCTGCTTGTGAGGGGGGAAAAAAAGACCGAGGGGCAGCTTGTTGTAATCAATGGGTTGGAAAGGTCCGTCCATGAAAAAAATCCTTCTTGGGAAAATATTAGCGTTGTCTTGTGGCCAAGGCCAATGGGCACTGAGTTACCTGCCTCTTCCATTAGGCCTCCCTGGTTTCTCAGAAATGCCTAAACTTATTGATACCGTTTTTTTCAAAACAAGTCACCATATATTGAAAAAAAAATCCACAGAGATATAAATGTGCCTAGGAGCAAAAAAATAATATACAACTTGGCTAATGTAATCTCATAAAGTTTGTCTCCTCTCTTTTTATTTCTACTTGCTGTGTTGAGCGCATGTGTCTGCTTTTCTTGAAAACATTGGAGACTCTGTAGCGCACACATAATATATTTGGATTCAAGAACCCATGCTGCCGATTTATAAGGCCGTTACCCACTTTGCCCTCCACCATTTGAATATTCAAATATTTGGATATTCAAATAGGTACCCACCATTTGGATATTCAGATGTTCTGTATGTGTGAATACTGATTGCTCTAAACTTCCTTTACAGCTGTGGATCCCTGTGTGCTTGGCACGCACCAGTGTCAGCATGTGTGTGTCAGTGATGGGGAGGGTAGCCACCACTGCGAGTGCAGCCAAGGATATACCTTGAATGCTGACAAGAAAACCTGTTCAGGTGAGGCCTTGTTCAGGTGGTGGTTGACAAGAAGGTATTTAGGAGGCCGGTTCTCTCCAGGTTTTAAACGGGCTTCTGCTTTGACCCCCAGAGCCCCTTTTCACTTAAATCCAGTGGCTGGTTTACTGTTTGCTCAATAGCTTTTCTGGAAAAGGAATATGGGAAAAAGGTGAGATAACAGGCAACTCAACGTGTTATATCATTGATTACTAATTACAACATCACTGTGTTACTAATCATAAGGGAAAGGATTAGCAGGGAAGTGGGCCTAAACTTCTGGTCCTGTTGAGGATTTGGAATTTTATCTGAATTAAATACAAGCTATCCTCCCTTCCTTTCTGTTAGCAAAGACCCTCGTAGGCTCTAGTAGGAGAAGAACATTCAGAAAGGTCTTCATTCATTTAGTATATGAATAGTCATGTAAAGTCAATGAGAAATGGGGCCTTTATTTTTTTCAAAGGAGGAAACTCTGGGGATTTAATCCAATGCACTGATTTAATAGATAATAAAACAGACTCAAAGAGCTCAAGCCATAACCATGTCACTGGGCTTGTGAGTTGTAAGGGCCAAGACCAGAAAGTTGGCTGCCATCATCTAATCTGGTTCCCTTCCTCTTGTGCTGTGCTGCCCTCAGGCTGCTCACCGTGTGTGTGTGTGTGTGTGTGTGTGTGTGTGTGTACGCGCGCCCTCACATTTCCAAGCAATGTGGGCAATATTGTGTTTTCCATAATGCTGACATCTATCCTGATTTTTTTTTTAATAGCTACTGACAAGTGTGCTCTTAACACTCATGGATGTGAACACATTTGTGTGAATGACAGAACTGGTGACTATCACTGTGAGTGCTATGAAGGTTATGCCCTGAATGAAGACAGGACAACTTGTTCAGGTAAATGAGGAGGAGGAGTCTATAACGGCTTCCTATCTGTGTACCTGCCTGTCCAGTGTGGAGGGGGAGGGGCAGGCCAAGTTGATTGGAAATGTGATAGGCTTCTCTGTCTTACCACCCGTAGGCATTTCCCATTTCTAAGTCTTTTTAGAAAAGGCAAAAATGGTGGTGGTGGTGGTGGGGGGAGGGCATTTATGGGTCTTGGCTCACATGTGTCACGTGTTCGTTTTCTTCTCTGTACCTCAGCCCCAAAAGTCCTTCCCCTATGCTAAGCCCAATTTAGTAGGCTAAAACAAATGACACCCCGTAAGACACTTATTACTTACAAAGGGAAAACTGGTAATGTTAGATTGCAGAGCCCTGGCAGACACCACCTTACCAAACCCATCAATGCTAATGTCACCAGTCATAACACTTAGTGACCTCAGGTATACACTAATATGATGTGTTGAAGATGAAATAGCACTTGACCAGCGAAGTTAAATGACGTGATGGGAAAAAAAAAGTCAGTTGAATTGAACTATGTGCAAAGATCAGACAAACCCACATTGGGACACATATACGACCAGATACTTTGTCAGGACTTTCCAAATGTGTCCAATTCATGGAAAAATGAAAGACTATGATGTGTCTTTCCTAATCTGAAGGAGACTAAGTAAACGTGATAGCCTAATGCAGGGCATGATTCCAAACTGGATCATGGATCTGATCGTGAATGATAATGGAATAACTGGCTGATTTTCAATAAGATCTATGGATTGATCATATTGTATCAATGTTCATTTCTGATTCTGATACTTTCTGCCAGTGGCTGTCAACCTGTGGGTTGCGACCCCTTTGGGGGTCCAACGACCCTTTCACAGGGGTTGCCTGATTCATAACAGTAGCAAAATTATAGTTATGAAGTAGCAACGAACATAATTTTATGGCTGGGGGGTCACCACCACATGAGGAACTGTATTCAAGGGCCGCGGCCTGAGGAGGGTTGAGAACTACTGCTTTGGGCTCTAGTGGGTCAGAATAGAGGAGTTTGGGGGAAATTGGGTGATGGATTTGAATAGCTTCAGGTAGGATTTCCTCTAACATTTTTCAAATGGCAAAAAAGGAGATTCGATCAATGGTCAATAAAACACTTGCCTGGGTCCTAAATGATTTTCTCCCGGAAATGGTTGTTGACAGCTCAAGATCAATGCGCTTTCGGAACACATGGGTGTCAGCACATTTGCGTGAGTGACAGAGCTGGGTCGCATCACTGTGAATGTTACGAGGGCTACAGGCTGAATGAAGACCAACACACATGTTCAGGTAAGCATGTCTCAACACATTCTCTCCTACTTGCCTCTTTCTATTGCCGTGAAACCAATGTTCAGTTCACCAGAAGATAGAGGCTGAAAGGCCATTTAAAGCCTGGGTGTTGGGGCATTCTGCCAAGCTCCCAGGCTAAGCCATACATTGCTCAGACGGCAATTAACCAAGTTGGTTTTGCAAACTTAAATCATTCCAGAAAATTCCTGGAAGTGAGTAGGGAGTGAGTGAGAAAAGGAAAACTAATTGAATGTAGGGTCTTTATCCAGGAAAACTTTATAGCTCTGATCTCTGGGGACTTGAAAGCAAATAGGAAATGTCACAGGAAGTCAGGGGGACAGTAACGATTTGGTGTGATAGGCTGAACTGATCCCGTTCCAGTTAAAACTTGGCCTTTAACGTTTCTGTAGCATTAATCTTACAGCTGAACTGCTTTAGTAAAGGGGACTTTGTCAGTGGCTGAATGAGACCCACACACATCTTCCAGTAAGTTTGAAGCCAGTTGTTTCCTGACAGGCTCCACAGGATCGGTCTTCAGTGAATCTAAGCCTTGTGAGGGGTTGGTGAATGAGACCACACCAGTACGGCTGACAGTCATTAATCCAATTGAAACACATCGGCAGAACAGGGAGCATTTAGAATGAAAAGCACTTCTAAGAGAGAGCCCCGACTCTCAAAGTGGTGTTTAGTTTGGACAGATACAATGTGTTTCAGATTTATACATATGTTTTTCTCACTTGAGGAAATACATTATGTGATTTTATTTATTTTTTTAAGATAGATGAAGGGAAATGGCCTAACGTGAATTCTTTTATTGTTGTTGCTTCTATGCAATGAAATCAATCAAAAGCTGACAGAGCACCTATTCTATTCCCAGGAGCGCACTAATCACTGGGGGGCTGTAAAGAGGCATACCCTTCTGGCACCGACCAGCCGGTAGCCCAGGTGGAAAGAGTAGCAATCCCTCGTGACAGCAGAGAGAGAGAGAAGCTAACGTGACAGAGGGCTGCCTGAGTCCGGAAAGAGGGGATGTCGGGAAAGGGCACAGGGAGCAGGGCCTGAGGCTGGGTATTTGAGGATGGTGTAGATTTCGGTAGAGGGAAGCAGAGAACAGCCAGGACAAAGGGCCTGTTTTGCATGGGGTTGCTTAGGGGAGTCGGACTGAGTCTGGATCCCTTCACTGTGAATGAAGACAAACCAGAAACCCATACTCAGACAAGGTCCATGTAAGACATCCTCTCATCCTTGGCTCTTTCTAGTACAGGGAAACCAATTTGTCAAGTCACCAGAAAATAGATTCTTTCTTTTTTTCTAATTATTTTATTGGGGGCTCGTACAATTCTTATCACAATCCATACATCCATCCATTGTGTCAAGCACATATGTACATTCGTTGCCCTCATCATTCTCAAGACATTTGCCTTCTACTCTAGCCCCTAATATCAGCTGCCCATTTTCCCCTTCCCTCCCACCTGCCCCCTCCCTCATGAACCCTGCACAATTCACAAATCATTATTGTTTTGTCACAGAAGATGGATCCTTAAAGGTCATTCAAAGACTTGGAGTTCAGGGTGGGGAGGTGGGATTCGTAGATGGCTGCACTTCTCACAACGGTTAGACTTATCCCAGTTATACTATCAGGAACATGGGAGACAGAGAAGACAAAAAGGCATGTCAACAAAATAGCTGTTACAGAATAAAACAAAACCTTTTTTGAATGTAAGAGAACATAAAACATAGGACATTTTCAGTGCCGGCAGATCTCGATCATGCTCTCTGCTGTTCCTCAGTGTCCACTGGCTGCCATGCAAGGCCCCAGAGTGTGTGAGACATGGTAGCTCTGGGAATTCTCATAGCAGTTTTTTGAGAAACGGAGGCATAGGCAGATTAAGTAATTGACTCATGGTCACTGGCTCACAAGTAGCAGAACCAGGACGTGAACCCCGGCACTACCTCCAGACGTGGTGCTCTACCCACCAGACAGTACTGTCGTGTTGTAGGAAAGGCAGGGTTACAAAGGGAAAACAAAGCTCAAAGCCACTGTCATTGAGTCAATTCAGACTCCCAGTGACACCTCGGGGGATTGCATCAGGCCTGTGACCCGAGTTGCATCCTGTCCTAATCATCTTCCAACGGAAGGGCTGCCCTGAGCAGAGCTTACTCTGGAGGCAATGATACTGCACTAGAGCCCCCTAGGGGCCATGGCTAGGTCTTTCCTGCAAAGCCACAGACAACGCTGGCTACGTTGGCACAAAACCCAAGGTTAAAACCAGCATTAAGGTGAAAACAAACCTGCTGCCATCAACTCACAGTGACCCTATGCCAAGGCTGGAAGATCACCTTTTGGATAGAGTAGATTGTATTTCCCATCAAGCTCTTCTATGGGCCATAGAAGGTTTTAGAGCCTAGGATGACATGTAGTTGGAAGGGAGTAAGTGGAGTGGTGGACCCCTGCATTGGCAGGGGAGAACCTCTGTCTCCCAGCAGATTTTTCGGGACTCATTAAAGGAGACTTGCTTAGACTGGCTAGACCAGAGGAGGTACACTGGTACAGATAGGAACTGAAAATACAGGGAATCCAGGACGGATGAGCCCTATAGGACCAGTGGTATGAGTGGCGAAACAGGGAGGGTAGAGAGAGAATGGGTAGGAAAGAGGGAACCGATTACATGGAACTGTGTGTGACCTCCTCCCTGGGGGACAGACAACCAAAAAGTGGATGAAGGGAGATGTTGGACAGGGCAAGATATGACAAAATACCCATTTATAAACTATCAAGGGCTCATGCGGGAGGGGGGAGCGGGGAGGGAGGGGAAAAATGAGGACCTAATGTCGGGGGTTTGAATGGAGAGAAAATGTTTTGAGAAACGATGTACAAATGCGCTTTACACAATTGATGTGTGTCTGGATTGGGATAACAGTTGTATGAGCCCCTAATAAAATGTTAAAAAAAATAATAAAATAAATAAAAGGTTTATTAAGGAAGTTAAAAAAAAGAGACTTGCTTTTTAAAGTTTACCTGGGACGCAGTACTGGTACAGCAATGTCCCCTGCTCGCCATCCAGATTTAGGCAAATCGTTCCCATCCCGGAAAGGTCTTCATTTGTGATCAGGAGTACCTCACTGGCAATCACACGCCGCTTTGTTGTTTGGAGCGTTTTGTTTTTCGTCTCTGTGTTTGTCTTCCGGTCAGTATTTTCTGTCCTGCTTTGTGACCGAATCAAGGCAGCCCCTTTCCCAAAGTAGCTCTTTCTGTGCAGCATCAAGCTCAGCCCAGGTAGGTCCTTAATGCGCTGGTGATGGTGACCCAGAGGGCGGTGGTGATGGACGCAAAGGAAGGGCCAAGGCAAGTTCTGGAATGTCGTGAACTCCCAGTGCGGCTCCGCTCCGCAGGCCTTTGCAGGATTTGGTGCCAAGCTGCAGCTTTTGTTGTCTTTCTCTCAGAAATTTGCATTGCATTTCTACTTCATTTGCGAATGTTTCTTTTCTGCGTTGCCTGCGACCAGTACTCAACAAGTGTGCTCTGGGCACGCATGACTGCCAACACATTTGTGTGAGTGACGGGACAGCATCCTACCACTGCGATTGCTACCAGGGCTATACCTTGACTGAAGATAAGAAGACCTGTTCAGGTAAGGGACACCGCTGTACGGATGTTTCTGTTTGGTGGGGACACCGTTTGGAGTAAGCTTTGCTTCCCTTCTTTGCGCCAGAAGCACAGTTGCCAGGAAGTCTTTCTCCTTGTCAGACTTCTCCGTGGCTCCCAGGTGTCTTCAGAACAAAACAGCTATGCTCCCTAGCCTGGCACTCTGCCGTCTGTCATCTGATTCTATCCTGCCTTACTCTTTATCATGCTAAAATACCCATGAAGGAAACTTACCCTTTTAACGTGCATTGCTGTGGCATGCATTATGTTTCCAAGGTGCGCAACCATCAACAGTGTTTGCTTCCAACACTTCATTACTGTAAATAAAAGCTCTGGCTCGGTTACACATTAAGCTTCCTGTTTCCCCCTTCTCTCAGCCCATCATTATCACCGCTCTACTTTCGGTCTCTTTGCATTTGCCTGTTCTCAATATAAAAGGAGTCAGGTGGCTGATCTCAAGGCCGGTAGTTTGAAACCACCAGCTGCCCTGAGGGAGCAAGAGAAAGCTTTCTCTACTCCCATAGAGTTAACAGTCTGGGAAGTCCACAGGAGTAACTGGACTTCGTCCTGTTGGGTCACTCTGAGTCAGAAAGGTCTATGCGTTATATGAATATACCCCCCTTGATGTATCGATTCACCTGTTGATGGACACGTGGACTCTCTGCCCTTCACCTTTGGGAGTACTGCCCAAGTGAACATTGGAGTGCTGGGTTCTGATTTCCTGCTTTCAAGTCTTTTCAGCATCTACCTAATGTGGACTGGTTGGGTCAAAGGAGAATTTGACGTTGAACTTTTGGCAGAACCACCCCGCTGTTGTGTGCAGCAGCTGCACCATGTTACAGACCCACGAGCAGAGTCCCTCCTTGACCACACGTGGCGTCCATCCTTCTGAGGAGAGCCATGTGTAAAAGTGACTTGGAGGCAGTGTCTGACTTCCTCTGCCTTCACTGTGGGGAAGGATGAGGACACGCATCAGGCCAAGGTCAAGTCCTACGAGGCGGAGGCCAGACATGCCTCCACCCTTCATGAGGGAGTTTCCCTCCGCCTGCTTCTGAAATGGCTCATTTTCTACCCACCAAGATGGCACCATAGACCAGTCCCCGCGTTAGAGTTGCAAATCCGTACCATCACAAGCGGCTGTTAACAGCCACTCACAACGGAATCCGAGAATCCTATCAGCTGCGTTAGTGTTTGTTCTGTTGGCAGTCCGTGCTACTTTCAGTAGCCTTCACCGGCACCACCATTCAAAGGCATCGATGTTTCTTTAGTCTTCTTGATTCCATGTCCAATTTTCACATGCATATGAGGCGTTGAAAAATACCATGGTTTGGGTCAGACAGACCTTAGTCCTCAAAGCAACATCCTTGCTTTTCAACACTTTAAACATGCATAGTTCAGGGAAGTTGGTTGCATTCTTATTCCACTACCATCAAATTGCCCAGACACCACTCCTTCGTGCTTAGCTCTTGTCACACTTTATCTTCAATAGCTGAGTCTTTAGAAGAGTGACATTCTGTTTAAAAAGACAAGTGTGGGGGGTGACGTCTTGGCTCTAACTTTTCAAGGGGGAAAGAGACTCACCATCATCAGTATCAGCTGCACAACATCAATAGGCTGAGGTCGTGCAATGCCTTAGCCTTCCGAACTTCCTTGCCAATTGTCCCCCCTACAGCACTCCCTACTCAGCTGGTTTTGCAATGGCCACACAGAACTCACAGACCAGACTCATAATTATGGGCCTTACTGGGAAAGTGAACAGGTTATAATTCAGGATCAGAAATATTCAGGATACAGTTCTTCCAATCCGGCCACTTCTCAGCCTTGACTTCTCAGCCACATGACCCCTTGGGCTGGACCCTGTGTAGGCAATGTGACAGAGGTCTTTTAGCAATGGTGGCAAAGGCCTAAAGGGCATTTTTACTCTGCCATAACTCTCAGCACAAATCTCCATGTGCAGCATTACCTAGCCCCCCATTAAGTATCTGGAGGCAGTATACTCTTCAAGCATGGGTCCTCACCAAATCACTCGACTTTACGTGCTCCCTGGGTCAGGAGGTCCCCTCGTCTATCTCATGCTCTGGTTCTCAGTTCGGTTGCTGCTGCCCCTCTACCACTGCTTTCGTGCTTTTCGATCAAGGAGGGTCAGTGTGTAGGAATCTCAAGATCCAAAGGAGGCCTTCCATGCCTGGCCCTTCTCTTTTGCTGGTCATGAGATTCCCTTACCAGCTCTGGCTGCTGAAATAGCTCATTGTATACACAGCTGGATGGCAAAATTGACTCATCCCTACATTAGCGTGTGTGTAGTTACATAATCTGTCGACTTGAGCGAAGGGGTGGAGTTTGGCCTGTTGATCAGGTCCCACGGTAACACCCACCAGGAGGATTCTGGGAACCCCCTCTTTTTCTCCTGGGAAGAGGACCATACACTCTCTGCAAGACATTCCTGTTGGCAAGCCACATGGAGCCACGCTGATGACAGCTAGAGCCCAGGAACTGCAGGAGCCACGTGGAGACCTACACAAGGCCTGAGATGCTTCTAGCGCCACTGGATCCACCACTGGCCAGTGATCTTCCTGTATTTGGCATCATTGCACATGCTGTGTGAGCCTAAAGAAGAATTTATGGGGTAATACTGAACTTACGGATTTGATTTGGACTGGGCTGTTTGTCAATGCATAACTTCCTCCTGATATAAAGTTCTCTCTTACACGTATATGAATGTCTCTGGATTTGGTTCTCTTGTCAACCCAGATTGACAGAGTCTCGTGTTCTTACAATATTAACTAGCTCTGTTACAAACACAACTGAATCCTATAACCCTATCAGAGCTCCCCGCCTTAACTTCTTATACCCAGACCCATTAGGAAAAAGTTGTTTTGTGGGAGTTACAAATACTGTGGCTAGACGAGCCATATCAAGTAATTCACTACACAACACATGCTCAAGGTGAACATTCTTTACTAATTAAGTTAAACTGTTGATAAGTTTGAAGATGACTTCAGTGGATAGTTTCTCAGGGCAGCAGATTGGAGGTTCCTCCAGTCCTAATAGGTTTAGTAAATATGCATTCTATAAGAAACCGAAAATGCTGTTCCACATTTCTAACCTTTTGATCAGGAATCACTCATTGAGTCCTTGGTAAAAATGCTGAGTAGTGATAGATGGCTGCTTCTGGTCTCATGGCAAAGGAGGCGGTAATTCATGGAGGCAATGAGATCTGCTGCTTTTGCAGTGCAGTCAATTACGTAATCTGGCTCTTCTAGCCCTAGTCATTCCCTCCAAACAACTGGGTGGCACCATGCAGACTGGGTGTATTTCCCTTTTCCTGATGGGTCTGGGTAAGAGAAGGTGGGGAAGATGCTGATAAGACCACGTGATCCAGTTGGGAGTATTCACGAAGCTAATTGTGATGGTAAAACCTTGGTCTTCCATGAGGACGATTGGTCCGTTTTGCCATCTAGTTGGGTATAAAAGGAAAAATCAGAAGGGGAGAATTTCACCACTATTAAGAGCGAGCCAGGCATGGAGAGCATTCTCTGGACCAGAGATCCCTGCACATGGAACCTCCTCTAGTTAGGAGACAGCTGTGATGGCAGACATATGACAACAGCAGGACCAGGCCAGAGCAGGAGCCAGAGCCGGCAGACTTCCCAGCCCAAGGGAGCAAGTCAAATGGAATGCCTCTGGGCAGGAGGCTCGCTTGTGGAGTGGGGTGGAGTGCCTCCAGGCCCTTAATTTGATCCTGGAGAAGTATCATAAGTAGCTGTTTTATACCCTGTATATGAATGATGGTATTCAGTAAATATTTTCTGGCTTATTGACTGATTAATTGACCGACTGGGATGGAATGTTGGCTGGCTGTTCCGGAAAGTTTTAATATATTTTGAAGGTAGCTAATGGGTATTTAATCAAGTGTGGTCCCTAGCCTTATATTGCATTTTTGTAGAATTTGGGAGAAAATGTTGGAGCAAAAGACCATTCCCTAATCGAACCACTCAACTGGAAGATTATACATCAGTCTGCAGCATTCGAAAGTTACCCTTATTCCTATTGGTCAGTTTTAGGACTTTAATATTGAATAGGAATTGTTTCCTCGGTGACTTATGGGAAGAATTGGGAGCCAGCTTTATTAGTATCCCAGATTCTTTGCCGAAGTGTCAATACCAACCTGCATTTTCAGTTCCAAGGTATTTATGGGTGAGAACAAGACTTCTTAATTCAAACTATTTTGTGGAATTATAATCCTGCTTACGGAGTCAGACATTATCTCGTTTTAATCTTTGAAAATATTTTGGCTTACAAATAGAGGACTATTTTTTCTTTTTAACGAGGACACAGTATCCCAAGAAGACGTATGTCTGTATCCTTGGCTTCCTCTTATATCAATTACCTTCTATACTTTTTAACATACTTTTTTTAACCACAGGAAATGTCAGATGGTCATAAAAGTATATGAGTCCCCATGTACCCACTACTCAACTTTGTCCATTGTAGCCATATTCTCATCGCTCCTCGTATATTTACTACTGTGACATTATCATTCTGAGGTATTTTATCCTTTTTTCTGTTTGCTCTTATCCTGGAAATTGCACTTCAGTACATTTTAAGAATGGAAAGACTGAATCATAGATTCCTTGAGGTGCTATGACTCACTATTAGCACTAATCCTTTTTTGTCTTTAGCCATCGAAGAAGCACGAAGACTCATTTCCACTGAAGATGCTTGTGGGTGTGAAGCCACACTGACATTCCAGGAGAGGGTCAGCTCGTATCTCCAGAGACTGAACACAAAACATATCCTTTCTGGTGGTTTCCTGCTTCTGTTGGAAGCCCACGTATGTGCCACAATCGAGCCAAATGCTAGGATCTCTCACAGAAGTGGAATGACCTGAGATTTTGATCAGCTGTAAGAATCCGTTCTTTTAGAAATTGGGCTCTTTTTAGATGTTTTAAATAGAGACCATGTCACTTATTTAAAAAACACCTGTGGATAAAAGCTGTCCAGATATTTCTTTCTCTAATTTTAATTTTCCATAGTGACATGACCTCCCTGGAAGCTGGCATCTACTCAATGGCAGTGAGTAGTGTGTCCCTGATTGAACTCTTACGTAATAGATGGGACTACTGTGATATGGTTCCTTCATATGGCTTTCTAGTTCTGAAGTGATATAAGCACAAAATGAGTGAGCTCATTAATGGTACATGACATCTTCAAGTAGACAGAGTTGTCCATTTTTTCTAGCCAAGTGGTCAAAAAGCAAATTTCAATGTAAGAAACTTTCAAAATCAGTTCTTTAGTCAAAGCAGTAACTTAGAAAATGTACTTTTTCTCAGCAGTTTAACACCCCTGTTTCTATGTACCTAAAGACGTGGTATTCAAATTGTTAGTATGTTGGTGAAAACTTTAAAGGAGTAGGGAGCCACAGACAATTTTAATGATTCAATAGCCAAACTGCCTAATATAATACCTGGGGCCAGTTGATTCTCTCTTTTTCCATCTCCCATCTCATCTTATTCTCTGAAAGGCATTCCTCTGACTTTGAATCTTAGTTACATTTGCTGGAAAAATAAGGTCTCCATAGGGATAACCCAACAATTACATTCATTACAACTTCATACATGCTGCTTCTCCCAATCTATCCCACTAAGAGCTGCCTTTCCAAATGGATGTTACCTTTTCCTTTCAATATTTTTTGGGGGGTATGTGTTAAAATTTAACTTATTAAAATTATGATTTCTCAATCCAGGTCATATTTTAAAAGAAAGGTTGATGGTAACCACAGTAAAGTAAGGGCTATTTTCAGTATGGTTGTTTAATATACGTTTATTTAAGGAGTATAATAGTGATTACAAAAAGATTCCCAAGCTCCAAAGTATCATAAAAATTTGTGGGAAAAGTAAAAAATAGAAAACAAAATTAACTTTCAGTATGTTTAATAAATTATTTTAAAAGCCTTAGTTGCCACAGAGTAAATTCCAAGTCACAACTATTCTTGTGTCAGAGTAGAACTGTGTCCTATCAGGTTTTATTTTTTTAATTAAAAAATTTTCTTTTCCTATCAGGTTTTCAATGGCTGAGTTTTCAGATCAAAGACCTCTCTTATGCACTCCTTTCGCCAGATTGAAACCACCCCCCTTTTGGTTAGCAGCCCAGGGTTAGCCTTTATTTCACCTACGGACTCCTAAATGAATGGTAATTAACTTGGTAGAGTGTTGATATTATACGGAATACACTAGAAAGACTGACAGAAAAAATTTTAAGGAATCAATATTTCCCAAGTACCAAAATTACAGGCGTTGTAACTGCCTAAACACATGATGGAATTGTCCCATGATTTCAATATGTGCAAGAGAACAACTATTTGGCAACGTTATTGTATGCCACATTGGAGCAAAAATGTTTGAAGATGATTGTTTGGTATCACGATCTCTGACAGAAAGCCTGAGTTTTAGATCAGACTTTAAGTAACAATAGTTTTGCTCATTTTTCTTCAATTACAATGGGATTTAATGATTTCCCTTTCTCTTGTTCCAGGGAAGCCTATTTGTAATTACTCACAGGGCAATCCTCAGTATCTTCCCCGGCCTTCTTATCAGACTCATGAAGGGAAAGGTTGTTTGGTAGGAGTTAGAGATTTTGGCTCTCAGATCCACCTTAAATAATTCACTGTCCCTGCAGGTCATCACCGGACTCTTCTTGCCATGTCTCATTCATACTGAAGGATTAACTTCCCCCTTCCAAAAAAAAAGTTTTTTTTTTAAATGAACATACCCATAAGAGCTGTGGGCCAGTCACTCATGCTTTTTTTTTTAATCTCCCCCCATTTTAAATACTCAATTTCTAAACTGCTTGTCCCTAACAACTCAGAGCTGAGGCTTGTGATGTAATGAGTCTTCATTTCTGGTCGGATCTTTGGCAAGTTCAGTCTATAGCCCGTCAATCATGAAAACGGCAGCAATGCACACAAGCTCAGTCAAGCATTTTTCTCTTCATTTGGTCCAGTTCTGGTCATCTCAGTCCTAGCCATGCATGCTAGTCCACGGGTACCAACTGCAAGCTTGGGAGTCCACATGCGTGTGCTACACTTCAGATCAACTGGCCCTTGGAGCTACTCGGTGCCCAGGGACTCAGTATGCACACAACTTTTTGGAATAGGTCCAAATCATTCTGTCTCTTCACTGCCGCACAGTCATGTCGTGAGCGAGTCCAGGTGAGAACCCAAGCTCACAGGCTCCCTTTCAGTCCAGAAAGGGCTCTTTCAGTGGCGCACAGACTTCTGGGCTTTGATGGATCTAATGTCCAATGGCTTGCTCTTAAGTTTTCAAAAGCCAGTTTTTTTCTGCAGACTTCCCTTCAAATGTAAAACTCTTCGCCTCTCAGCAGTTGTGGGTAGGGCTCAGGTTTTCTTTCTAAGCCCCTTATTCTACCTCGGCTTCAAACAAAAAAGCCTCCTCTTTTCAGGCAAATTTGTTTTTGCAAATTTAAATGTATTTTATTGAGATCCTTTTATTAAACCTTAAAAAGGACTAAGACAAAGCCAAATTAGCTAGATAAAGAAGACCATTAGGTTGCGGCTATAATGGTTTCTTTTAAAAAAATCATTTTATTGGGGGCTCATACAACTTTTTTTTGATGCAATTTTTATTTAATATGCAGGTCCCTGGGTTCTTCTTCTTTTTTAAAATGATCTTATTGGGGGCTTGTACAACTCAAATCACAATCCATACATACATCCATTGTGTCAAGCACATTTGTACATTTGTTGCCATTATTATTCTCAAAACATTTGCTTTCTGCTTGAGCCCTTGGTATCAGCTCCTCATTTTTTCCCTTCCCTCCCTGCCCCTCTTCCGTCACAAACCCTTGATAATTTATAAATTATTATTTTGTCATGTCTTACACTGACCTATGTCTCCCTTCACCCACTTCTCTGTTGTCAGTACCCCAGGGAGGGGGCTATATGTCAGTCACTGTGATCAGTTCCTCCTTTCTCCCCACCCTTTCTCCTTCCTCTCCTTGTATTGCTACTCTCAGTATTGGCCCTGAGGGGTTTATCTCTCCTGGATTCCCTGTGTTTCCAGCTCTTATCTGTACCCATGGACATGCTCTAGTCTAGCCAGATTTGTAAGGTAGAATTGGAGTCCTGATAGTGGATGGGTAGGGGGGAGCATTAAAAAACTAGAGGAATGTTGTATGTTTCATCAGTGCTATACTGCATCCTGACTGGCTCATCTACTCCTTTCGGCCCTACTGTAAGGGGATGTCCAATTGCCTACAGATGAGCTTTGGGTTTCCACTCCGCACTCCCCCTCATTCACAATGATATGATTTTTTGTTCTGGGTCTTTGATGTTCAGGCAATTCTAAACTCCCATTTTAACATGTCTAATCAAATATAGATTGACAGACAATTTATGAACTCTTGTAATCATGATTCATTTCTTGAAGTTAGGATTGATTTCCTATAATAAAAGTAAGTTGGAGATATATTATCAGTGCAACCAAATCAACATATAATCCATAACTTTGTAAATAACTAAATGAATCTCTCTCCACACTGGGCAGTCTCTATTTATGTGCATATGACCTGGGGACTCTGGTTCCTGAAGGTACTGGCCTCCTATTTAGCTTACCCAGCCAGGCTTTCCCCCAGGCCACTCGAGAGGCAGCTGTTGCCTTCTCAGCTGCCTCGCTTGTCTTTGCTTACCTCCATCACACGTGACAGTCACCAAAATAGCCATGCTAGGATAGGAATCAAATACTTCTCGTGCCTTTTTAGTTCTGTCTCTTAAAAAACAACAACCCAACAACCCATGTTTCTACAGTCCGGAGCCATCGCAATGAATCCCACTTCTGATGCCAATGGAAATGTCTTAAGGCTCTCTGTCCCTCTCTAGCTGCTAATCTCTATTGCAGTGGCTCTCAGCACTCGGACACCATGCATGATTAAGTGGTTTATTAAGGAAGGTAACCAGTTGTGATGCCAGTGCGAAATGCTCAGGACTGCTCAAGGACGTGACACAACGTTCTGTCAAGTCTGCTCCTAAATGCCCAAAGGGCACATTGCTTTGCTATGAGTCTCAATGGGAAGGCATTCTGTGTATGCTCTGGGGGCCCCCAAACTCAGCTCCCTGAATTAAGGGCCCAGAGGCACTCCCTGTCTGGAAGTCTCATCCTGAAGGTTCTGGGCTCCACGTCCATGGGTCAGCAAGCCCAGTTTCCCCAATTACTTGCTCAGAGGCCCGCCAGTAAGCTTAAACCAAGGATAGTCAGCCTGACTTCTGTGTATCAGCAGGATGCTCTCCACTCCTGGCATTCCCTGGTAATGAGATCCCTCCCTCCTACTTCTCAGAGGGCTCATTTTATACACCGCAGGATGGCACTCCAGGGAATCCTGATTGCAATGACTCACAGGTGAATCTGATCAGTATCTTCCCACAACTTCTTACCATGCAAGGAAAGATTGTTTGGTGGACATTGGATATTTGGGCAGCAGTTCTCAACCTGTGGGTCGCGACCCCTTGGAGGGTCTAACGACCCTTTCACAAGGGTCACCTAAGACCATCGGAAAACACATTATGACTTATAACAGTAGCAAATTTACAGTTATGAAGTAGCAACAAAAATAATTTTATGGTTGTGGGGGGTCACCACAACATGAGGAACTGTATTAAAGGGTCACGGCATGAGGAAAGTTGAGAACCACTGGGCTAGAAGAACCATATTAAACAATTAATTGCCGCTGCACTTGCGTTAGAGTGTTTGCCATCCTTCAGTTTACAAAAAAAATCAAGATGTCAATTCATGCTATATTTTTTGTGAGCAAAACTAGGTAACTGTTCTTCGAGAGAATTTACAGATAGTTTTCAAGGAAAAGTGCATGTATGTACATGATATTTTATGTAGGTCTGCTATTGCTTTGCATCTCTGAGTTATGCATTAGGCTGCTAACCATTAAGGTCCATAGTTGGAAACCATCAGCCACTCCTCAGGAGAACGATCAGGCTTCCTACTCCTATAAAATTTAGCCTCAGAAGCCTCCAGGGGCAGCTCTGTGATGTGCTGCAGGGTAACTGTGAGAAGGAACGAAGGCAACAGAGCAAGACTTTTAATGAATAGATTTATCGAGGGAGGCGAGGTTTGTAGGTAACAGGAGATCAAAGGAGATGAACTGAAAGGAATTCAGGATAGCTGCAGAAAGAATGGTGAGAGTTGGTCCTTTGTCCAAAGCCAGGGGATTAGCTAGCTTAAAAGGTAGGGAGGCCAACAAGAACCGCCATTATAGCAGAGACGAGAAAAACAGGTTTCAATACAGACCCACAAGCAAACGACAGTAGGGCTTGGTGAGGAAAGGGTTAATGGTTTCCCCAGCTGCAGCAGCCCACTGCTGCTTCCTCTGCACCGGGAAACCCGCAAGGAAGGGACTGTGGGAAAGAATCTTAGCTGGGAAGGTATAGCGGGGAGCAGGGGTGAGAGGCAAGAGAAGAGACAACAGGCATTCCAGGGGATTATTGATGTCTTTGGGATCTATACGTTTGTTAGACACGATGAATCCCGCGCATCTTTCTGGTTGATGCTGTTAACTTCAATGGGCCTGGCGCCAGTGAGGTGGGGCTGATGTCACCTGGGTGGGATGACGGGCAGAGTAAACTTTGTAAGGCAGAGTAAACTTTGTAAACAGAAGCGACCTCTTCAGTAACACTACCTGGGACCCTAGAGGAACCAGCTCAATGGCGGCGGCGATTTGGTTTATTTGAGTATTCACAAAGTTTCATGCATTCTTTTGTTGACAGAGACTCTAAGTGGCTGGGAGTAAAAGTAACAAGTATTTCAAAGGTGGCTTGTCAAAGCAGATCATAGTTTCCAAGTGATAATACATTTACAAAACCTTTTCAATGTGTGAAAATACATGGCGTTGACCTTAACACCCGGCCACTTGATGACATTTTGGAGAAGTTGCAAGTAAATGAATATGGACAAGTACATCGTTAAACCACTCAGAATTGCCACCTGGAAATAAGGAGAGCTCAGCATATTTAATATTCAGTTATGTTTCCCCATACTTCCTCAGCATCTCCAATGTGCCTGCTAAGAGTCTGTTATTGCAAATGTTTGAATATTACTGGCTGCCTAGTAAGAGGACCTTCAATTGAATTGGTTTCTTTTTTGCAAGGGAAAAAAAGGCCATATGCTTATTACGTGTGTCTAAACTATGACTGTGAAATGGCTGGCAGGGAATGGAATGAAACGTTTAATGTCTGTTCTTTTAATCTACTACATGAGCCATTGAACTTCCCAATGTTTATATTAGTATAGTAAACATTTTTCAATTAGTAAGATAACCATCTTCACAATGGAAACTTTTTCTACTCAGATATTTATCACAAATAATTCTTATTTTGATAGTACTTGTAAAAGAAACCAGTTGTACTTATGGGAATGTAAATTGTTAAATTGTCCAAGGAATTTACACATTAAAAAAAACCTTATCTGATTCAGTTGAGGTGAATAACCTTTAGATTTGTTTCTTTTAACGTATTTTGTTTTGGCTTACTGGGATGGCTGTTCTTGAAGGTGCGGTTGGGGATAATATAGTTTTAAATAACTATATTTAAAAACCATACTGATTAAGTGAGCATAGCATGTCTTTGAAATTTCATTCTGATGTTAGCAACGCATGCCCACTAAAGAAGCATGAGCTTAGCTGTGAATTAAAAGTGTTAAATTTTTACCAGGGATTCAAAACTTCTGAACTTACTTTTACATAGTTTTGCTTTAGGAACCAACTGATAAAATGATCTATTTATATATATTGTTACAACAAGCAACAAAAGCTCATGCTGTCTTTTAAATGGTAATGATAAGCCTAACCCCTTTTCTACTCATATATTTAACACAAATAATTCTTTTCAGCCTTAAAACGTGTAACCTTTAGAACTAATAAGACAGTGTTTTAAGTTGTGTACTGCTAAGTTCTTTTGGTTTGTATCACCTTTAGTGTAATAAACACATTATTATCTTACTGTCATGCCTCATTTCTATGTATGAACATTTTTGCTTTTCAAAGGTATTTCCTTCAATTCTTGGAATTAACAATTAAATTAGAATGCCTAACTTAAAAAAAACCCAAGCAATTTATTGGCATATAATCCACATATCATACAATTCAATAGTTCAGTCATTAAGATGAGTTGTATAATCATCACCATATTCAATTTTAGGACATTTTCTTCTTTCTTATACTGGTTATTAGCTCCCGATTTCCCCCCAATCCCCCTTGTCATTACCTCCATTAATCCAATGTCTGTCTCTGGATTCCATATCCTGGATTCCATATACAGAAAAACATATAAAAAAATGAAACAAAGCAACAGTAACAAAGTAAAACACAGAAAAACCTCAATGGAAATAAAGCGGAAAATACTAAAAAGTAGAACAAATGAAAAATGGTAAAAAAAAATGGTCAAAAGGGAGATCACATGATAAGGGGTTACATTTTAACCTAATTGCATCTGCAGTCATCCACTTTCCAATGCATGGCATGAGAGCCAGGCCACTCACCTCCCTGGCGTATGGTTATAGCGACTTTCACTGGAGGCTTTCAGGTGTGTTTGCCCCTTTCCTTTTAAAATACTCGAACTTGAAAATGGTTCAAAAGAATTAAATGATAAGGTTTTACATTTTTCACTTAACAAAATCTTCCATAATCGACATTACAATGCTCTGGGTCCGCTAGCCAGTCTATTCATATCATTTGACTATGATATATGCTATGATGGGGGTTCACAGGGACTTACTCCATGTGTGGACCCGACAAGTGTATTTTTGGTATCCACTATCATCCATAACCACCTGCAAACCAATTGTTCACAATTTAACCTCTGATACCATTTCCTCCTTCAGATTGGGCTTTTATTATTTGCAATCTTGGGATCAGAGTTTGGTGTGCTTTCCCATAGGGACGTGGCTGATGCATTACTTAGATGGCTGCTTGTTTGAAGACAAGCCTTTAATACCCCAGATGCTATTTTCCCCCCTGATTTCTGGACACCATTTGGTTTCTTCCCCATATTTTACTATAGCGCTCAGATTTTCATTGATCTCTTCATGAGGAAGAACATCAAGCAGGGCCATATCATAAGAACTAATCATTGTTAGATTGGAGCTAGAATTAAATTGAAGCTCCAAATCCATTTATAAATCTATGGTTTATATATATCTCTGGTTCATTTTAGAGAGATTATCATTTTATATGTCTAACAGTCTCTTGTCAAATGGCAGAATATTGGGAGTATTCCTATAATTTAAGCTTACATTCTGGAAGCTAAAACTGTAAATTTAGGGAGAGAATAAGGGAGAGAATAAACTTAGATAAAAATGAGCATTATGTTAATATAAGCTCTTGAAAAGCAAATATAACTACATATGTAACCTCCAGAAAGAGCCAATAATCTAAAATATAATGAGAAACAAAAAAAGTAGTTTAAGAGTACCAACACAATATAAAACCCACTGCCACCAACTTGATTTTGACTTGTGATCCAAGCAGTTTCCAAGGCTGTAAATCTTTACAGAAGTAGAGTCTCATCTTTGTCCCACAGAATGGCTGGTGGGTTTGAACTGTTACCTTGCAGTTAATGGTCCAGTGTTTACCTAAGAGTGTGACCACGCTCCTAAGACAACGTAAATGAGCTGAAACATTGTCACACTCTTAAATTATTTGAGAGGACATAACATAGCAATATTTTTGAATAAAATTAACTGATCATAAACTCAGTAATATTAATATAACACATAAAATACTATTAAAGGGAAAAAAAATAAGAGATCATTTTCAAGAGAGGAGAACGTATTTAATGAGCTGACTTTTCCAGACTATGCCCAATAGTAGTTAACTGCAGTTGTATGACATTGAGTAGATTCCAAAGCATAGAGACTGGGTAGGACAGGGCAGAACTTCCCCATAGGGTTTTCCTGGCTGTAATATTTAGGGTACAATGGCCAGGTCTTTCCCCCTAGAGCCACTGATGGGCTGAACCTGCAAACTTTTAGGTTAACAGCCTAGAGGTTAATCATTGTGCCATTAGGACTCCTTTCAATAAAGCAAAGTTTTAAACTTTACCAGTTCATCAGAAACCCTTGGCTTAAATGATGCTGGTTTCTTGACTCCAGTATAAGGAGCATGGGGACAGGGGCCTCTTTATTTTACCTTTTAGGAATTTATAGTTTAATGCTGAAAAAAATGGATGCATATATAATTAAAAATATCAATCTGGGATAGGGCTTAGGTTTGGATATAATCCCCAGAGGGACATGATTTGTGCCAGTGTGGTTAGGCACAATTGGGACAAGGGGTAGGGACATCGTTGTTGTGTTAGGGACAGTCAAGTCTGTTCTTGCTCATGGAGATACTATGTCCAACAGAACGAAACACTGCCTGGACCTTCGTCATCCTCACAACAGTTCACGATCTCTGACAATGTTCTGCTTCTATTGATGAGGTTTTCAGTGTCTGACAATGTTTCAATGCTATCCATAGGTTTTCAGGGGATAATTCCTCAGATGTACATAGCCTATGCCTTCTTTGAAGTCTGTGCTTAGTCTGGAAGCTCCGCTGACACCTGTTCCCATTGGGTGATGCTGCTGGTATTTGAACTCCCAGTGACATAGCCTCCAGGATCACAGCAACACACAGCCACTATAGTATGACACATTGACAGACATCCTAGCATATAACAAATGGCCTCGGGGGCCAGGTGGAAAGCAGGGATGCCACATGCATACTGGCATGCTCAGAGTGGGGACCATATTGTAAAGGCATTTTAGGATTGAGGGAGGATCTGTCAATTGCTAGGCTTGATAGGAAAGGCACTAGGGACTATTGTCAAATCTTAAGTGTGCTGGGAGAGGCAACAGACAGCGAAGTCCTAGGATTTGAAGATGATTGGCTTGCGATGGAAAATGATTCCAAGTGGGAGAATTAGGGCCTGGGGTATAAAGGCAATGCAGATTAACCAAATTAGCAGTGATAACCAGAGAATATTATGAGTGGGGAAGCCAGAGATACAATATGGCAGATACTAAATAACTTCATGGGAGTGGCCCCACTCCCACTTTGGACTTCAAGGACGTCAAAGAGGACGATAAAAAATTGAACAAAGAAAGGAGGTAGAAGAGAACATTGAACAGCCAGTCGATCCTAGGCGATAGAATTGCAAGCACACAGCTCGAGTATGTAATACCGCCTTTAAAGTGTTGCAAAGCAAGGAGGTTACTTTGAGGACTACAATATGCCTGATCCAAGCCGTGGTATTTTCAGTTGCCTCATATGGGTGAAAGTTGGACATTGGATATGAAAGGCAGAGAAATAATCGATGTGTTTGAATTATGGTGTTGAAGAATCTGGAAAGAACCGTGGACTGGCAAAAGAACCAACAGAGCTGTCTTGGGAGAAGCGCAGCCAGAATGCTCCTCAGAGGTCAGGATGGTGAGACGTCATCTCATGGACTATGGACACGCCCTCCAGTTCTTGACAGGATGGGTTGTGCTGAAATCTAAGAGCAATCATGGAGGATGGCGCAGGATCTGGCAGTGTTTTACTCTATTGTACATTGAAAGGCTATGAGTCAGAACTGACTTACTGGCACCTGACAATAACACACCCCAGTGACAATTACATGCACATTGGACCAAAACTCCTATGTTTCCCTTTTCTAAGGATCCTGGGCAGTAACAGCCTAACATAACTCTTAAAAAACAGAATAAAGAAAATTCCTTACCCCTACATGGCTCATCTGAGTTCTAACATCCCCAGGTAAGCAAGATCTCAAAATGTACATTTACAGTTTTATTAGCCCGCGCCAGCCTACCAAATACAGTAAAAGACTTCTCTCTTTGAAGAATGTTGGGACTAAGGAGCTTACAAAATACCAAGGGACCTCATTTTAACGGGCGCTTTTTGGGCTGCTAACCGCAAGGTCCGGGGTTCAAACCCAGATGGAACTGTTGGCTCCTGTAGTTCTGGAAACTCAATGTAGGCAGGGCTTTTGAGGCTTTGGGGTTTTACTTCTTAGTTTATGTTATCACTTCAGGCGCAGTTCAAGCGCTGCGTCTCCTGAGCGCCAGCTCCGGCGGCTGCGGCGGCCAGCAGCGCGAGCAGATCACTCGCAGGGCGCTGGTTCGGGCCCAGCACAAGGCAGAAGACGCTAGAGGAAAAGGGGCCCAGACTCAACCACACGCTACATCTCATCCTACAGCCCCTCCACTGACCAACGTCTGCGCAGGCGCACCTCAGTGCGCCACGCCGAGTCTGCACCGGAAGTGTGCCCGTCGCCCCGGAAGCGACCGGAAGCGGCGGTTGCCATAGAGACGGGAGCGCCCAGGAGCCGCTGGTACTGGGGGTTGGAGTGTTAGACCGAGTTACTGCCGCAGACCTTGACGACTGCGTTCGTCCTCTTGGGTTTCCCAGGATGTTCTTTTACCTGAGCAAGAAAGTAAGTTTTTCCAGGAGCACCCTCCCTCCCGTCCCAGCCCAGCCTCCTGCGGCCATTCCTGCATCCTTCCGGAGGAGCTAGGTTTCTTCACCAGCTTCGCTATCCTGCTTCCGACCTTCCTGTTCGGTCTAGGCCGGGACCTCCTACCGTGATCTGAGTTCCAGAGCGTTCTTAACAGAGCCAGGGCCTTCCAAAGACCCCAGGACAGCACACGAAATGCTTTTAAACGGTGTTTCCTTCTCCACCTGTTGCTGAACCAGGGGACTTCAGCCTTTGGTCCTCTAAGGTCACCAGCAAGGGAAAAGGGTGGCTTAAGTGTGTGTGGAAGGAGACTGTAGGCACTGCCTTCTTGTGTGCGTTCCTTTTCCGCTTTTGCAGATCGTAGGGCTGTGGACAAGGGAGCGAGTCTGTTTCCATGACTACTTGGGCCTCCGCAGCCCTGTGCGTTTTTCTCCTCGGGGGAGTTGATGCAGCCTCACTTCCCAACTCCGTTTAGGAAAGTTGTTGAGAGTGACTGGTTGCTTTTCAGATCGCCATTTCGAATAATGTGAAGCTGAAATGTATATCTTGGAACAAAGACCAAGGATTCATAGCATGTGGTGGTGATGATGGATTACTGAAAGTTTTGAAATTGGAGACGCGAACAGGTAAATTTGTTGATGGAGAATTGGCCACTATAGTTTGCCCAATGAGATTTGCTCATGCTATTGGTTATTAAACAAAACAAAAACAAAAGCTAACCAACACCGAGTTAATTCTGACTCATAGCGCCCTTACAGGTCAGAATAGGACTGCCTCTGTGGGTGTACGAGGCTGTAAACATTTATACAAGCAGGTAGTCCCAGTTTTTCCCTGTGACTGACTGGTGGATTTGAAGCGCTGACTTTGGGTTTATCAGCCTTACACAGCTCCAAACTTAACTCACTATGCTACCAGGTGCCTTCATATGCAAAACTCATTGCCATCAATTTGATTTCTTTTAAAAAAAAATCATTTTATTGGGGGCTCTTACAATCCTTATCACAGTCCATAGTCCACCCATTGTGTCAAGTACCTTTGTACATATGTTGCCATCATCATTTTCAAAACATTTTCTTTTTACTTGAGCCCTTGAGATCAGCTCATTGCTACCCCCTTCTTCCCTCATGAACCCTTGATAATTTATAAATTATTATTTGTTTATGTCTTACACCAACCACTGTCTCCCTTCACCCAGTTTTCTGTTGTTTGACCCTCTGGGAGGGGCTTATATGTCAGTCATTGTTATGGGTTCCCCTTTCTCCCTCCACTTTCCCCTTAGACACTTCGTATTGCTACTCTCATTATTATTCCCGAGGGGTTTATCTTTCCTGGATTCCCTGTGTTTGCAGCTCTTATCTGTACCAGTGTATATGCTCTGGTCTGGCCAGATTTGTAGGATAGAATTGGGGTCATGATAGTGGGGCGGGGAGGAAGTATTAAAGAACTAGAGGAAAGTTGTATGTTTCATTCCTGCTATACTGCACCCTGACCGGCTCATCTCTTCCTTTTAACCCTTCTGTAAGGGGATGTCCAATTGTCTACAGATGGGCTTTGGGTCTCTGCTCCACACTCTCCATCATTCACATCAATAAGATTTTTTGTTCTGGGTCTTTGATGCCTGATACCTGATCCCATGGACACCTCATGCTCACACAGGCTGGTGTGTTTCTTCCATGTGGGCCTTGTTGCTTCTCAGGTAGATGGCTGCTTGTTTATCTTCAAGCCTTTGATAACTGGGCACCATCAGCTTTCTTCACCACATTTGCTTATGTACTCATTTTGTCTTCAGCGATCATGTTGGGAAGGTGAGCATCACAGAAGGCTGGGTTATTAGAACAAAGTTCTTGCATTGAGGGAGTACTTGAGTAAGAGGCCCAATGTCTGTCTGCTGCCTTAATACTTAACATATAAGTATATGTACATAGATGTTTCTCTATTATATATAAATGTATTTACATATATACATGCCTGTATTTTGACCTCTATAAATGTCCTTTGCCTCCTCCTTCTTTCCTCTATTTCCTTTTACTTTCCTCTTGTCCCACTATCATATTTCGTCTTCATTCGGGTTTCAGTAATTCCTCTCGGGTATATTGGCCATGATCAAGCCCCACTAGGCATCCTACGCCCTTCTCACCATCGCTTTTAGAGCAGTTGTTGTTCCCTTGTCCCTTGGTTTGTTGGCACTTCCCTTTATTTCCCCCACCTCCCCCTCTCCCGTGTCCCCCTTGGAACCTTTGGTCCCATTGTTTTTTCCTCTGGATTGTTTATCCCACCTATCTTATCTAGATATACAGGTAGAGACAATAAGCGCAAAACAAGAAAAGGAAAACAAAAAACAAAACAACAAAAAACCCCAACAACAACAAAAGAAAAGTCTATATAAATAGTCCCAGGTCTGTTTGTTGACCTTTATGAATGTTTTCTGGTCAAGTCTGATGGGGTGCCACGCCCTGGCCCCAAGGTCTATTTTTGGTATTCCCGGGGGACTTCATTGCTTTGCTCCCCCCACTGCTCTGCTGCACACCCCTAGTGTTTTGCCCTGGTGTGGTGGGGTCAGATCAGGCACAATTCCTGCACTGTGTCTCCAGTGCAATTTGATTTTTTAGTCAAGTCTAATCCATTCAAGATGAAAAAAATTCAAACAAACCTATTTTTATAGTATAGTTTCAAGGAAACAATAAATGGCTTATTTAGTAAATGAATAAATAAAATGAATGAATATAAGATCTGGAAATTATTCTTTTACAGTTTTCAATCTATGTATTTTAAATATTTCTGTTTCTGATCATTTATAAAGGGATAAGTAGAAATAATGATAATTTTTTTAATAAACATATTTATTTTGCCACAGTAATATACCTTTGCAAGAAGCATGTAGTAATGTCTACATTTAAATGATGAGTAAATTAGATTGAAATGAGGCTTCTGAAAAGATCGTTCTAATATTAGCTTGGAGCAGAACTTCCATAAGAAAAAAGGAAGAATGTAAAAAAATTTAAAATCTATTATTTCATATATTTATTATGTATTTTTTAGATGATGCAAAATTGAGGGGTCTTGCAGCTCCTAGTAATCTTTCTATGAATCAGACTCTTGAAGGTCACAGTGGTAAGTCATGCTACATATTATATATACATATATAATGTTTTTCTAAATCATGTTTGAATACTATTCTCTTTAGACATTTAGCAACCATTCGAAGGTACTTCAAAGAGTCTGTGGAAAAATGGATCAAAAGATAATGGAAAATTTTTCCTACAAACTTTTTGAAGCCCTCTCATAGACTTAATGCAGATATGTCAACATTTTAAATAATGGTAATATTTAAATCATCTATATTGAACCATAATAATTAGACTCATTTAACAACTTTCATATGGTTAAGTGATATCCTTAATAAATCATAAACTGTTGTTTTATATGTTAAAAAATAATGTTCTATCTTTGGATACATAGTCCTCTTTTAGATTGTTTCGCATGGTTCCAGTTAAAGGAGACAAAAGAGAGATAACTGTAACAGAGCACAGTGATCCTAGATTTGATCTTGGAATAAAAAAATAAATAGTTATAAAAGGACATTATTGGGACACTTGGTGACATTTGAATATGCACTGCATGATAGATAAAATAGTGCTACCATGTTAAATTTCCCGATTTATACAATAATTATGAAAGAAAAATCATAGGAAATTCATGCTATAACATTTAGGCATTAAAAAGAATTATAAGAAACTAATTGCTTATATAATCCAGTGGTTTACTAGGGGATACCCCCAAAACACCAGAGTTCACACTAGTTGAGCATCAAGCGACTTGCTGCACCCAGGGGTGTCACCTGGGAAGGTTCTCTGTGGTCACAGTGAATTTTTCTAAAAGCAGTTTCACTTGAACCTCGCTTTTTGTAAGAGAACAGTGTGCAGCTGTGAAATTTTGTTTCCTGCTCGGGAAAAATGCAGCAGAAACTGTTGTGATGTTGAACACAGCTTACAAGGACAGCACTTTGGGAAAAACTCAAGTGTACGGGTGGTTTTCTTGTTTCAAAAGAGGTGAAATGTTGATTGATGGCAAACCTTGTTCTAGATGTGTGTCAGCTTCCTGAATGGAAGAAAATGTCAACAAAATTCGTGCACTGTGCTTGAAGACTGACGATGGACCATTGAAGAGAGGGGAATTTATCTGGGGAGCTGGGTTTAGAGAATTTTAATGGAACATTTGGGAATGAGAAGGGTTGCTGCGAAATTTGTGCCTCAAAATTTGTGCCTCTGACCAGCAAAAAGAGCGTTGACTGGGAACATGGCGTGCTTTGAAAGGATAGTTTCAAAGCGACCCAGACTGCTTTCCAAGGTCATTTCTGGTGATGAGACATGGTGCTATTCTTCTGACCCAGACAGCAAATATCAATCAAGCCAGTGGAAGATGCCATCGTCACCTTGACCGAAAAAAGCTCATCAAGTGAAATCATTGATCAAGATGATGCTCTTTTTTTTGATGTGAGGGGCATAGTGCAATTGGAGTTCATTCCACCAGGTCAGACTATTAATCAAGCTTTCTGTTTAGTGGTTCTGAAAAGATTGCATAACAGTGTGTGACACAATAGGCCTGATTTGTGGCAGTCAGGGGATTGATTTTGCCACTACGACAATGTACCTGCTTACGTAGCCATCACGTGTGCCAATTTTTGGCAAAAAATAGCATGCCTCTCTGGCCCCACTCACCTCACCCACCTAACTTCGCTCTGTGCAATTTCTTTTTGTTTCTGTGATGAAGAGGGCATGAAAGAACAGTGATTGGATGGTGTAGAAGAGGTGAAGAGAAAAATGAGGGAGGTGCTTGTCAGCCATCCAAACAGATGAGTTGGAAAAATGTTTCCAAGAATGGAATCACAGATTTGACAAATGTACTAAATGTACCGGAGAGTACTTTGAAGGTGATAATGTCATTTTGTAAAAAATTTAAATCCATAGCTTGGGGGTGTGTGGCCAGGAATTCCATTTTTTTTTTGGGGGGGTACTCCCTTTTGTATAAGTGTGTTATTAGGAGAATTGAAAACAATTTGGAAAAGAGAGAAACGTGGTAGTAAGATATGACTACAATAGCATATTGTAGAACAATATTGATGTCACATACACGTAACAGTTTGCTGTAGATCACCCCACAATGGTTGCAGCAGTGCACTGACAAAGAGCTGCTAGAGGGTCAAGCCAGGTTCAGAAGAGGATGTGGAACAAGGGAGATCATTACTGGGATTAGATGGATTTGGGCTGAAAGCAGAGACTACCAGAAAGATATTTACTTGTGTTTTATTGACTGTGCACAGTCATTCAACTGTGTATGGACAGCCTTAAGAAGAATGGCGAATCTGGAACACTTCATTGCACTGATGAGGAACCTGTACATGGATCAAGAAACAACTGTGCAAACAGAACAAGGGAAGACTGCATATTTTAAAATCAGGAAAGATGTGCATCAGGGTTGTATCCTCTTGCTATACTTATTTGATCTGCATGCTGAACAAATAATCTGAGAGGCTGGGCTACACGGAGAAGAATGCAGCATCAAGATTGGAGGAAGGTTTTGATATGCAGGTGACACAGCCCTGCTTGCTGAATGTGAGGCGGACATGAAAGACGCACTTGCTGACAAGGATTGCAACGTTCAGTGTGGATTACTACACACTATAAAGAAAACCAAAATCCTCACCACTGGACCAATAGGTAACAACACAATAAATGGAGAAAAGACTGACGTTGCCAAGGATGTCTTTTGATTCGGATCCACATTCAGTGTTCATGGAAGCAGGAGTCAAGCTATCAAATGAAGCACTGCATTGCTGAAATCTACTGCACAAGACTTCTTTAGAGTGTTGAAAAGCAAGGATGTTAGTTGAGGACTAAGGTGTGCCATGATATTTTTAATTGGTATTTTCATGTACATGCGAAAGTTGGACATTTGACTACGGAAGACTGAAGATGAATCAATGCATTTGAATTGTGGGGCTGGCAAAGAATATTGAAAGTACCATGAACTGCCAAAAGAACAAGCAGATTTTCTTTTGAAAGAAGTACAGCCGGCATGCTGCAGAGAGGCAAGGATGGTGAGTCTTCATCTTACATACTTTGGACCTGTTTTCAGGAGAGACTAGTCGCTGGAGAAGCACATCATATTTGGTAAAGTGGAGGGGCAGCCAAAGAGAAGGCCCTCGACGAGATGGATTGACACAGTGGCTCCAACCATGGGCTCAAACCTAAGAGCAATTGTGAGGATGGTGCAGGGCCGGGCAGTGTTTTGTTCTGCTCGACAGAGGGTCACTAGGAGTGGGAACTGACCCGATGGCACCTAATAACAATAGCACAGTAGCAACCCCCCAGAAGACTTAGTAGGATGTTCTTTGGATATCGTAATCCTTGGGAGTCAGGCCAGTTGGGTACATCATGCTCACATTTGTTTCTGTCAGTTGTATGGAAACTCTTTCAAGTGGTCATAGTAGGTGCATCTACTGCCAAGAAATAGGGACAAACATTAAAAAAATAGTATGTAGCATTATTAATTTTATAATTCTTTTTTTTAATAAATCATTTTATTGGGGGCTCTTTTAGCTCTTATAACAATCCATACATCAATTGGATTAAGCACATTTGTATATATGTTGCCATCATCATAATCAAAACATTTTCTTTCTACTTGAGCCCTCGGGATCAGCTCCTCTTTTTTCCCTTCCTCCACCTCTCCCACCCTCGTGAACCCTTGATAAATTATGTTATTATTTTCATATCTTAGGCCAGCCACTGTCTCCCTTCACCCATGTTTCTGCTGTTCATCCCCCTCTGTGGGGTGGGGGGTGTTATACGTCGATCATTGCGATCGGTTCCCCCTTTCTCCCTCTTCTCCTTAGACCTTCCCCCTACCCTCACAGTATCGCTACTCCCAATTCTGTTCCTGTGGGGTTTATCCTGGATTCAGCGTGTCGAGAGTTCTTATCTGTACCAGTGTATATGCTCCGGTCTAGCAGGATTTGTAAGGTAGAACTGGGGTCATGATAGTGGTGGGTGGGTGGGGAGTATTAAAGAACTAGAGGAAGCTCACAACACAGGGAATACAGGACAGATAAACCCCTCAGGAACAATATTAGGAGTAGCAGTACCAGGAGTGGAAGGGGAAGGTCGGAGAGGAAGGGGGAACTCATCACAATGATCTACATATAAACCCCTCCCTACAAACAACAGAAAAGTGGGTGAAGGGAGACAGCAGTCGGTGTAAGACATGAAGAAAATAATGTATAAATGTTCAAAGGTTCATGAGGGAGGGGGGAAATGAGCTGATACCAAGGGCTTAAGTAGAAAGAAAGGGTTTTGAAAATGATGATGGCAATGTATGTACAAATGTGCTTGACATAATGGAGGTACGTATGGATTGTGATAAGAGCTGTAAGAGCCCCCAGTAAAATGATTTTAAAAAGAAAATGAACTGAGGAATGTTGTGTGTTTCATTGGTGCTGTACTGCACCCGCCGAGGACATTTAGGTGTTTTTGCCCCATTTGTTTTTTCACTTCAAAATAAGATATGTGCAGTGTGCATAGGAATTTGTTCATAGTTGTTTTTTTTTTAAATTATAGTCTGGTCTGAGGAACAGTAAACTGGCTCCCTGTTTAAAAGTTTGAGGACCCCTGCTGTAAACCGTAAGGTTAGCAGCTGAGCTCTGAAGAGCTGTACCACCAGGGAAGGTTGACACCTTGCCTGCCGTCTTTGGTCTGTCCGCTTG